TGAAATGTTATATTTCGTTTTTCTTAGGTATCAACTCAATTTATTTTCTCATATGTGTTTTGATCGACAATATTTAGCGATTGATAATTTATCATTAGAATTATCGATTGAATTAATATTAACGTAAGTCATTTGAATGAATTATTTATTCATATATAATTCAAGATGGTTTTTTTTAGATGTACAAAAAGTGAAAATCTTCCAGCTGATTTACGTGCAGCATTTTGTCGTTTAATGGTTCATATGCATGTAAATCGTGATCCACAAGAAGAAGTAACACGTATTAAATATGCAAGATTATGGAATCAAGTTAAACCAGCTATTTCATTGAATGAGTAAATCAAAAAAAACTATTTTGAAAAATTCTTCTACTTGTTTTTTTTTCTCGTAGTTATGATCAAACAATAAGTGGATCACTTGAACCAACAGAAAAAAATGAAAATCGACCGAAATTTGAATCAACTATGAAATTTGTTGAAGATTATCTTAAAACTGTTGTTGAACAACCAAATTCATTTTCTGATGTTGAACAAAATAAATTAACACATGAAGTAAAATTTGAATTATATTATTACATATATTTTTCTTATTCTTTTGTCTTTTAGGTTGTTAATTTAGCTCGTCGTTTGATATTTTTTGGTTTTTATAGTTTTGAAGATTTACTTAAATTAACTCAAACACTTCTTGGAATTCTCGATACAAGTAAAGTTTTATCAACAACTGTTCGCCCATTACCAATCGAACAAGGTTTACATTATTAAAATATTTAATTATTAAAAAAAAATTTGTTTTTTTCAGTAACAGCAATTGTAACAAATATAAAATCAAATAAATATGATCATGTTATTTCAACTAATAGTTCATATAATGTTAATGATGTTGTAACTGAACAACAAAGTGATGTACTTGATGATTTAGCATATGAAACAAAAATGAATGTTATTGCTATTCTGGAATTTATTCTTGATATTCGTCTTGATTTTCGTATTTCACGACTTATATCAATTTTTAAACAAAAATATGATCGTCTGGGTATATAAACTTTTTTCCTTTTACAATGGAAACTTCTTATTATTCTTTTTTTCATACATATTTAGAACCGAATAGTAATTTCATTGGCACAGATTTACAAATTGCTGATATTGAATGTATATTTGATATGAATTCAACACCTATAAATGAACCTAATCTTGATTTGGATGATGCAAAAGGAAAAATATTTCTTAAAGTTTTACTTAATTTAATCATGCATGATTATCAACCATTAGTATCACGTGCATTATCATTACTTTTTCGACATTTTAATCAACGTAAAGAAACTTTACAACATTTAAATCAAGTACAATTACTTGTTAGTGAAACAGATATTAAAAATTATAAACAAATTAAACGTGATTTGGATCAATTAAGATTATTTGTTGAAAAATCTGAATTATGGGTTTATAAAAAAGGAAAAGATGGAACATCACTAACAAGTGGTGGAAATGAAACGAATGCTGATCAAGATGATAGAAAAGATGAGGAATTTGAAATTAAGGTAATCGAAAAAACAAAATTTCATTCAGAATATAAACGAATTTAATTCTAAAGAAATTGGCTAATTCATCGGGTTTGTCCGATCCGGATATGGATATTAATGGTCCTAATGTAAGCGAAGAATCAGCATATCGATATACATCAATATTCCAGGTTAGTAAATAATCATAGAAATCTGTTTTTTTTCAATCATTTTTCATATCACTAAATATGGTAGAAGATATATATGTTGCTTATTTATCAATCTATTACTCTCGGTGATTCCGGGCTTGCACATATACACAGACATATCTTTCAACCCATATCTCTGAATATCTATCTATTTTCGTAGGGTATACATAAATTCATTGACACGGTAATTGGGATATACTTTCACACACATTCATTATGTTATCTGATTATATTGCACAGTTGTTTCACTTCTTTGATTGTCTATATATATATTCTTATTGTGAATCGCACTTGCTTTCGAAAAAAAAAATATCTAAAAAGCCAAAAAGAAAAAACTTGATTAATGCATGATTAAGAGGAATATAAAAATAAGATTTCGGGGGAAGAAAAAATTGTTTGTTAAGCATGTTTCATTGTATGAAAGAATTTTTAATTATCTCTTATTTTACAGTAAGCATGTTTTCACTGATTGGCTTGCAAGACTAATGTAATTCGTTTTATTTTAATATTTATATATATATATGAGAAATTATTGATTAAGGATTTTAAAATTATATTATTTTTATTTATACTTAGATTCTTCGTCGAATGATGAAATTATGTGTTGTTGAGGGTAGTGATGAAAATCTATATGCTCGAGAAAATGAACAACGTCTATTAAGAAATATGGATGTGCACGTCGTTGTACTTGACCTATTAAAAATTCCATATGATAAAGTAAAAAAAAGGAAAAGAAACACATTAAGAATTGATTTAAAATTTTTTCTTAGGCTGAAGATACTCGAATGAATCATATAATGAAATTAGCACATAATCTTTTACAATATTTTTGCTATGATAATCCAACCAATCAAGCTAAATTATATGAATTATATTTCAATGATTATCAACAAATATCTGAAGTAAACTAAAATTATCGAATTTTTTTTGTTTTCAAAAAAAACTTTCGTTATTAGGAACAAGAAGTTGAAACATGTTGTTATATATTTATGAATAATATTCCATTATGTAAAACAATAACTGAAAAACATATTCAACATTTCGTTCATTTAATTGAACTTCATGGAAGAAAAGTTTTATATATTAAATTTCTACAAACAATTGTCAAAGCGGAAAATCAATATATTAAAAATTGTCAAGATGTTGTTATGGCAGAAGTAAATAAATTCAAGAAACTGAATTGAAATAATTCAAAAGAATTTATTTTTGTTTTTTTAGTTAGTTAGTTCGGATGAAGTATTAATGTTTTATGAAAAAGGAAATTTAGCAGATCTTGTAGAACGTATGCAATCGGAAGATGAACGTTCTGATCCAAATTCATTATTAAATTATCATATTCAACTTGTTCATCTATTAGCTATGTGTACTGAAGGAAAAAATGCATCAACTGAAATTAAATGTCATTCATTAATTGGTTTAGATGATCTTTGTTTAATTGTTACACATCCTGATTGTAGTCCAGAAGTTTGTTTTTGAATAGAATGATTTTTATATATAAAAAATTTGTCTTTTAGGTTAAAAATGCGTATATTACTTTTTTGAATCATTGTTATATTGATACAGAAGTTGAAATGAAAGAAATTTATAATAGTCAACATATTTATACTTTAATTGAAAATTCATTTTGTCCTGATATGGAAAAAGTAAGTTAAATTTTTTATTTTAAAAATCAAAACTATATTTTTCTCATATTTTAGCTTATATCGAAACCAGCTGAACGTCGTAATTTAGAAAAATATATATTAGATACTGTAACTGATTTAATCAATCAATTTTTCAATTCACCATTTTTTGAACAATCATCAGCACCACAGGTAAGATAAATAAATCTTTCATTTAATCAATATTTGCAAATAATTTCACAAATCACAAAATAAAAAGCACTAAACATTTTCTTTTTCTGTATAATATGAAGATTCATTTCAAGGTGAGATTTGCTCTTAGGATCAGTATATTCTCGACGATGGGCGATCATCAGAGATCGCACCATCAATAATAATTGCTATCTGGGAAGTTCTCTGGACATAAAAATAAAAATGGACATTTTGAAAAATCAAAATATTTTATGCATGCTTAACGATGATTGCACGTTTCTCATATTTTACTCTCTTCTTATAGCTTGTAGATAGCGATGAAGTGAAGGTAAGAAATATGAAAATAAATCTTTGAAAAAGTATTTTGTATGAAGTTTTTTTTTCGCCCAAGAGCTTAAAACCTACGTTTTTTATTATGTTTCGGCAATAGAATCAAATTTGCGCATTTTATATCGCTGCACGTTATGGACTGTACACATTCTAGTTTTCTTTTTCTTTTTCAAATTTTATTTATTGTTTGTATTATTTAGCATCGTAATACAGTATTGGTATCATTACATAGTCATTTGACTCGATTATTAGCTGTATCATGGTTGGTATCATCACAACGTGAACGTATTGATAGATGTATTCATATTTTATCATTAATTGGTAAGAACTATTTGATAAAACATTTTTTGTTTTGTTTTATATACATCATTTGTAATTTTAGCTGATCGTCGTGGTTTAAGTCATTTTCTACGTTCAAATCATGCTTCTATAACTGAAGTAACAAGTCGTTCACGACGTACAAGTCGTAGTCAAACAGCTGATCGAATGCATAGTGTTGAACATACATATGGTTCAGGACAAAAACAGGATACGTCAGAAGATGTTGAACATAAACGTGTTATTGATAGTTTTGTGGTACTATACAGAATTTTAAAATTTAACAAAAAAACTTAATTTCGATTTTATTTCATAGGATTTTCTATCTCAAGTTAGTGGAAGACTTAATCCACTTGTTCAAGCTGAAGGTAGTGTCCTCGTCGACGTTATTCGAGCACCATTTGCACTCTTTCCTGAAACAAATGAATGTCGTTTTAAATTTCTCTATGGAACATTCGTTCACAAGTATGTATTCCTATTTTATTCTATATAATTTATTTGAAATATAGTAATTTCAAAAAAAACATATACATTCTTTTTCATACCGAGCCAATAAAAAAATCCTTATAAAACATTCTTTAGACTAATAACTCATACAACAAAGCTGTTAATAAAACATCATGAAAAACAATTAAGTTTTTCTGTACTCAATCTCTTAGCCGATTATGCTCGTACAATGCAGCATAAACAGATTCTTCATTGGGGATCTTTTCATGAGGTAGATTGAAAAAACAAAAAGGCTAAGAAAAACGTTTTTTGTCTTGATTACAACGAAAAAAGCGTAAAGGCAATGATCGTTTTTCTCGAATAAAGTAGTAGTTTAATTGATTTGAAGCATATGCTACTACTCTATTGTTTGAGATATTAAAAGCTATAGTTGATTATTTTTCTCCCCCTGTTTTGCTACTGCTTTGATTCCGGTTTTATGTTATTTAGATTAATACAGCATGCAAAATATTTGCTTACACAAACCGAAGAAAGCCTGTGTTTGCGCATAATGCATGCACTCAAATCGATGGTCAAGAATAATTATGAATTCGACTCAAGGGTATGAGTGCCTTGCTTAGCTTTTTTTCATCCATTAGACGATGATGTAGAACATATTATTCATTACATATGAATTCATTTTTTACCTTTCAGGGACATAGTTTAAGATTAAAATTAATTCGAAGATATTTTTCTGATGATAAACAATATTTAAAATCACTTCATCAACCATTAAAAGGTCTTTATGCAAAATATAAATATAAATTTGACTAATCTCATTTTTTTTGTTTATATAGAAGAAGATGCTCTTGAAAGATTAAGAATAACACAAAATGAATTAAATAAACAAGGAGCGAGTGATCTTGTTGTAGAGTTATTTATGAGTGAATCACCAATAAATATACTTGAAGAAAGTGTTAATTTAGCTATAGCATTATTAGAAGGTGGTAATACAGAAGTTCAGGTTAGTTGAAATAGTTCTATATCTACATGTATATTAATATTTATAAAATAATTAGACAAGTATTTATCGTCATTTACATGGATCTGAAACAGCCTCGGAAAAATTCTTTCAAGTTTTTTATGATAAAATGTGTATTGCACAAAAAACTCTTAAGAGTATGCCATCAACATCACTTGATAATAATCAAAATAATGATGATCTTGATGA